TTTTTCTCGATCACATGGCGTTACTTTGTTGACTTCTTCGACTATTAAAAGTTACAAGATGGTCTCCGAACTATAGAACATTGTTTTTTGAGTCTTTTACTATTAAAAATTAGGATTAAATATACAAAAGGTGTCCAACTTATGCTCTTTCCAGTTTAATGCTAACATTTCATTTTGTTACTCATTTAGGTGTCTGGGCCGTTAACAGTATTAGTTTCTCCGTTAAGTGACACGTGTCATAACATGGTAATTTTAAAAATTTTATTTAAAATTAAAAAAAATTAAAATATATTATTTTAAAAAGAAAACAGAAGTTTTGAAATAAACCCAAAACTTTGAAAACCTTCATTTCAACACTTAAACCCACATCGGCCACTACCTTTGACCATCGACGAAGCTCCACCGACCTCCCTCCCCTCGGCGATCAAAACCCCCCATGAAATCGTGACCGATCAATGGCCAATTGATGATGAATCAACGTTTTAATGTGACCCCTAGACCCAACATATGCTAATGACTAAATCTAGCATATTACAATAAAAAATTTCCAAAACATATTCCAACAGTCTCGATAATTTAAATCCACATTATAAATAACATCTTTAAAAAACATAGTTAATAACGATAAAAATCCAATGAGTAAATATTAAATCATAAGGACTGTATAAATAAAATACGTCATAATCCCTATTCCAGTAAATCTAACATCAGTAACAAAAGCAATAATCGTCATAAAAAAAGTATTTCAAAATAATGACACATGTCATCGTAAATGAGAGCAGGTCGGAAGATAAAACATTACAACAAAATGTTTTGTAGTAATGTATAAATCCTCCAAGTCAGGTCTGACGTGTCTATCCAAAAGTATCTGAAATGGGGAAAAGTTTGAAAAGGTGAACTAGGGAGCTCAGTGTGTTTCAATGGTGCAAGTAAAACTAATGGGTAAAATAATAAAGAAATAATTTAGTAAAGTATCATAAAAGTCATAGCGAAGTTAAATTCTAACACTCATAATTATCCTCTCTGTATACCAAAATGTAGTTCCCCATAACTGCATCCGTAAGGGCTTACCTTATACCCATTGGGTATAGGAGTCAAACTAATGGAGCATCTAAGGGCCTAAGATCCTACCCAATAAAGTTCTCGAGGCCTCGGAGCCTACCTAATGGTCACCTTAGATCCGTAAGGAATTATCAATTTGATCAGAGCTGAACCTCTATACTCCAGTATCCTACCCAAAAAAGTATCTCAATAAAACAATTCACAAAGTAAGCAGTGATTTCAATGATCCATAAATCGACATGATGATCTTCCAATGAAAACAAGTAATAAGAACATATATGATAGCTATGCTTCATAAACAATCAACCCGTAAATCAGTAAATCAATAATTTCGGTAAATCACATTTAAAAACAGATAAAACAATCATATAACACATAGGGAACACACTAGCAAAATGGAATCAGTCGGCAGTTTACTAAGCACTGTCTCGCCACACTCTGCAGTGCTTGAACCTAATTCATAATAACTGAGAATATCGAAGTAAAATTTTAATCTAAGTATTCATAAAGTTCACGGGTTTTACGAGTAATCATTGGCTCATGAGGCCGAACGGATCGAGAGGAGCTGGGTTGAGCTGTTGAACGGTCAAGAGAGTCTTGTGTTTCTTCAAATAACAATATTATAGACCATTCATTAACCTTCATTTACTTATTCTTAAATAAAATAATTAAGTACATATGCATGTTCGGGTTTGACGGTCGATTCGGAGGCTTTCGGGTTCAAATTTTGTAAAACGGACTTCGAATTCGGACTCGAGACATAGAAAAACATAAAATATGACTTTTCAAAAAATTTGAATTTTTTGTCAAACTCAAAGTCAACAGTTAGGTCAACGGTCAATCAAAGTCAACGAGTTAACTCTGTTCTAGTTGACTTAGTTCGATCCTACTCAGTCTAACTGAATCGATTCCAAAAGGCTTCTAGACCCGTAGAAGAGCCCCACGCACACGCGACAGCGCGTGGCGACACATGACAACAACGACAGGGTCGACAGTCTACACTCTGAGATCACCAAAACATCATTACCAAGCCATATCAATGGTCAAAACAAGTTAAAATTATCGGAATCAAAAGCATAAGATTGAAACGCTGATTCCAATGGTGGACGAACGAAACCGATGACATCGATGTGACCCACCGGTTGGGTTTTGAGCGCCTTGAGGTGGGGATTTCAATGGTGGCGACGGTGAGGCACGTCGATGACCGAGGTGACCAAAATCGAGGAAAAACAAGCGCGGGGGTGGATTTGTGATGGCTCTTTGGCCAGCTCCCCAAGGTGAATGGCGTCGATTTTTGGAGTGAGGTCGGAAGGGTTTTGGTCGCTAGTCGATGGTGAATCGAACGAGGTGGTGGTGCGCTCAACGGTGGTCGGACGACGATGAATTGGTGAGCCAAATATGAGCAGTATCTAAGGATTTTGGGGGTATTTGGGATTTTGGTTAATTAGTTCTGAAACGGGGATGGCTTTGGTTATAACCCGAGCATTAACCAATAAAATATATTTTACTTAAAATATCACAAATAGTTACCTAACTTAATCGGTAGGATGATGGTTGGTCATGCCTAGGGCCAGGGGTTTGAAACCCCTTTGCTATATAAAAAAAAATTATTTTTCCACTGACTAAAAAAAGGACAATTCAAGTTAAGTCCCTGAACTTCCTACAGGTTCAAAATCAGTTGTAAACTTCTGAAACTTGCAATTTAGTCCCTAAATTAATTAAGTTAATTTTTAATTTAAAAATGTGGGTGTGACATTATACCCCAGAAACACTAGGATGAAATCGCGATCCCACGCGATTCTGATGACTGATCAACTATTGATCGGTCATGATTTCATGGGGTTAGGTCGTCAAGTGAAAGGGAGTCGGGTGGAGCTTCGTTGACGGCAAAAGCCACGACCGCATGGGTTTATGGGTTGAAATGAAGGTTTTCAAAGTTTTAGGTTATATATAATTTAATTTTTAATTTTTAGATAATTTTTTTAAAATTACCAGGTTGTGATACATGTCACTTAACGGCCAAACTTAACGGTTTGACCCATTTTGAGTAACGAAATAAAGTGTTAGGCACCAAATTGGAATGAAATAAACGTTAGACACTAAACTGGAAAAAGAGGCATAGATTGGACATTTTTTGTATATTTAAGCCTAAAATTATAAAATGATCAACTATCAATTTATATGTTCCAAACTCATTTTTTCGTTATAAATCAGTGACCGTATAAACTAGACGTTAATATATTGATCATGATCCAAAACGTGTGAGTTGTATTTTGTAGATCAACTCTCAATTTATATTATGTCGTCGAGTCAATGCTTGAAACATTATGTTGTCAAGGCAGTGCTTGAAAGTAACGACAATACCAGTAAACATCATTAAAATATGATTTTATCATATCTCAATCACTAGGTTAACATTCATCTTAGACAGTCATCAATTTTTAACGGAACACGACGAGTTTGGAACATATGAATAGTCAGATGACCATTTTGTAACTTTTAATAGTCGAGAGATCCAAAAAAAATCCTATAATTGGGGGACCTTTTTATAACTTTTAATAGTTGAGGACTCAACAAAATAATATCTTATAATCGGGGATCATTTGTATACTTTACCCTAAATTTTATCCTTTATATTTTAGATTTACATATTGAAAAGGCTTAAAGTAAAAATAAGACTTTAAACTATGTCATCTTTTTGCTTTAAGCCCCTAAACTATATTTTGATCAACTAAGTACTTAAACTATTATATTTAATTTTTTCACTTAGAAAAATATTTTTCGACCAATAAGATGTTGACATGTCACAAAATTAGGTACTTGTTTTGGCCAGAAAAATAGTTTAGGGCTTGAAGAAAAGAGACATAGTTTAGGGACTTATTTTGACCAAAAAATAGGTACTTAAAGTGGTTACATATAATAGTTTAAGGACTTATTTTTATCAAAAAATAGTTTAGGGGCTTAAAGCAAGTAGTATAGTTGAGGGATTTTTTAGTTTAAGCCTTATTAGATCTATGATATGTTAAAATTAGATAATTTACTATCTCTTAAATCTTATATTTAATCTTAACTTTCTACTTTATCTAATCCAAACTTAGGTTTACTATTGACTTTTTAAACCTAATATACTTTGAAATTTACTTTAATCTTAAAGCCCAACTTGATGTATTTTTTCAGATGAGAATAATATATTTTTATAATAAATTAATAAAAAATAAAATAGTTAAAACTTCGAAGGACTACCACAAACCAAGCCAATAAAATTGTCTCATACAATAGATGAGAAAAATATATTTATATATAATAATTTGATTCACTATAATATAGACATTTAAAATTTTAAAAAAAATTAATTTCTCCCTCTCAATTTTTTTTTAAAATTTAGATTAAACTTTAAAATTTTTTAGTGTTCTTGATTAAACCCCTTCCCATAATTTTTAAAAAATCTCATTAAGCCTCTTAATATTTCAAAAATTTTAGTTAGATCCTAATTATTTTTTTTGGAAAAAAATGTAAACTAAACCCTTCAAAAATTAAAAAAAAACAATTTAAACTTTTGAATTTTTTTAAAATTTTAAATTGACCCCTAAACTCTATCACCAAGTTCTATTAAAAATACTCACACATATAATGAATCAACTTGACTCAAAAACAATTTCTGAGATTTATGTTTCATAAAAAAAACTCTCTATTTTAATTAATTATAATATTTATTTATATATAAATTAACTTAACTTTCGTTTTGCACGTTCTCTGTTTCTCTTTCTCGGCCATGCTTTTATTTATTTATTTTTTTCTTGTGCTACTGCTGCTTTAATTTCCTCAAACAACCCTTGGCCCACACTTGGGTCTCACCGAGATTCTAAGCCATGGTTTCCTTTTGTGTATTATTATTTTAAACCAACAATCTTCTTCTTCTTCTTTCTCTCGTTAAGAGCTTCTCGACTTTCTTTTCAATCTACAGAGCTCATTTCTCTCTTCTGGATATGGAGCATTACTCCATCAATTCATCTTCTGTTTCCAAGCCAAAAACAACACCCAAAGAAGAAGACGATTCAGTCGAAGAAAGTGGCTGGACTGCTTATTTTGTAGATTCCTCAAACAGCAATCATCGTACTCATGATCACCGTCATCACCATCAGCAGCAAAGCAGTTATTGTTCTAGTTTCGTTTGCGGTTCTTCTCTGGTCTCCGATGCCGCGACGACCCGCCGAGGCGCTGCATGGAAACCATCCGACAAAGACATCGATCGTGATCTTCACGTTTTTCCCGAAAAAGTTCGGTTCAAGAAAACAAGAACCAAAGAGATTCGTGACGAAGAGGATGATTCTTTGGAGGATACCGCAAGCTCACCTGTGAATAGTCCCAAGGTAACTAATATATAGAACTTGATAATTTCTGCATTTCTCTTCAGCTTCGGCGTCTCTTAGGCTGACAGGTTTTCAACAACTTTCAATAGGTCAGTGATGACTGGATATCAAATGATATGAATCCCAGAAAGAGAGAAGATCAAGCTGCCCTTAGTTCTCTGGTGAAACTCGATCATTCTCACTGTCATGGTTATGATTATGCTTTCTGGTTAGATAGTTGACCTAAAGAGTTCGTTTTTTTAGGGGAAGGACGGTGCAGAGAATTGTTCAGACATACACATCGAAGAAGAAAACAAGCTGAGTTTTCATGATGGGAAGAACGATTGTACAGAGATAAGCAAAAGAGGGTTGCGCTTGGTTCCTTTCTCTATGTTAGTTAACTATATCGGTTAATATCGGTAACCCGTCGGCACCAACGTTGTCTTCGACCGCATTGTGTTTGTCGCGATTACATCGATAACAACAAAAATCGAGATCGAAAAATAACGATCATAGTATCATGTTGCGATTTACGACCGTTATTTTACTTGTAGCCACTCCCTCTTACGCCTTCATTTTTGCTAGTAGTACTAGTAAGGTCATTGTATCAAGTTGTATATCAATCACATATCATAGGACTATAGGAGTAAGAAAAATTATGTTCGGTTTGTGATATTAAATTACAATAGTGGCCGTGGATGTCGTTATAATTTCATTTTAAATGTACTTTGTTCTAAAACATTTGACCAATGTTTAACATTTCTTTATTCTTAGAGGTTGAATTCACAAAACAAATAAATAAAAGAGAAAACTGAAGGAGGACAAAGGTTTAAATAATAATAAATAACCAGCACCTAATGCAGGCCATTCATTTAAATAATTCAGAAGGGAGCTGCAATGGAAGACCCCTCCATGTGCTGAAGCATTAAAGGAAGGTTTAAGCACATAAGAGAATTAAGAACACCCCCTCCCTTTCTTCTTCTGCTTCACTATTTAATCCATCACATTCAAATTCTTCTAGATGCATGTTATATGTGTATGCCGATTCACAGACACTCGTTAAAGATTTATCCAACAACTGAACTTATCAAGTTGTCTTAATAATAAGAATAAACGTTATTATTTAAATGTTATGGATTTTAGTACACGCGTTTTAATAAATTAATAAAGTTATGAACAAATATTATCAATAATTATTTTAAACTTTTTTATTAAAAAAAACAGTCTAAGGATTTATTTAATGTTTAAAATTTCATAAAAATATTAAATATAAAAATGAGTGGATTAAAAAAATTAGAGTAATTTAAAATATGGATAAATTTAGAATCTAATATTTAAAAATGGAACTCGGTTCCTTTTATAAGTTTGGATGGCTTGTCTCATGAGGTCTAGCAAGAAACTAATTAGTCCTCTAAGCGAACCGAACGTTCAGCGAACTATTTGGTATGAAGTTCATTTATGTTTGGTTATTTATTAAACGAACGAATATGAACAAAAGTTTATATTCGTTTAATTAAATAAAAGAACACAAACAATGGCCCGTTCATTCATTTACGTTCGGGACCATTCGATTATCTGTTCATTTATGTCTGTTCATTCGGATATGTTCATTCATTTATATTCAGCCTAATCTCTTTACTCGTTTGAAATATTAAGTTCTAATAAAATTTAACCTTAAACACATTAATATTTTAAAACCAAATTAATTTTAAACCTAAACAAAAATACTCAAAATAATTAAAGAAAATATAAATCCTAAAATTATTTGGAAATAAAAAAACTCATTACATATAAACCCAATTAATTTTATGTTTATTTGTTTATGTTCGTTTATTATTTTAACAAACGAACACGAACAAACTAAATTTTTAAATGAACGAACACGAAAAATATATTTTTTCGTTTAATTGTTTGTGTTCTCATTCGTTTATTTGATTAAAGTTAAATGAACGAACGATCATGAACATACCCTTCATCAGGTTAGTTCAGACCTGTAAACAAATAAGTAATCGAAAAGCCTTTTGTAGGCCGCTCAAATAAAAAATAACAAAAGAATAAATTTAATAAAGGAGTTATATAAAAATATTAAATATTAATTTAAATTTAGATGAAAATGGGATTTGAGTTAATTATTTATAAATGTGAATGAATTTAAATAAAAATCGAAAATCGAGATGTCACATTTACTAGGAACCGATGCACGAATCTTCAGAGCGTTAAACATCGTCACCTTCCCATCCACCGTCGCGTCGGACGAGAAGTTGACAGAGGCGGTCAAAACATCCGCCCAGAAAGTGGCTTTCGAAATCAGACCGTCCACCATGAAATTGGCAACGGTGCTGATGTTGAACTTCCCGCGGGCGGGGACCAGCGACTGTTGGATCGGAACCGTTGCGTCCACGTCACCGCGATAGTTTATTAAACCCGTCGTGTTCTTGAACTTGAAGGTGCCGTAATTACGGTTGTTGACGGCGATAACCATCGGTACCGTCGCATTTATCGCGCTCGCTTTCAGAATCCCTCTTAAACCGAGGCCGATGTTCTCTAGGCCGACGGGATAAACTTTATCGCGCTCGCTTTCAGAATCCCTCTTAAACCGAGGCCGATGTTCTCTAGGCCGACGGGTAAACTGTGATTTCTGGGTTCTTCGGCTTGAAAACAGTGAGCGCCGGTACAAGGAAGACGATGGCCACGATGACTATGAAAATTGCAGTCACTCCACAGCAGGGATTTAAGCCGCGGAACCTAAAGGCCATAGCGTCTGCTATTTTGCAGTCACGCCACCGTCTGAAATCAATATTACTAAGTTTAGTTGTAGGTAGTGGATTCACGCCGATAGCAATCCGTTCCGCAATTAGGGATAATGATGGATAGCGTCGATAATGGGATACTATTGTCATTTTTCAACCGTTACTGAAAAAAATAAAAACATAAAAAAGTTGGAATTCTCACCAAAAAACGCAAAGATCAAACCGAGAAAATTCACCATCAGGAAAAAAAAACATAAAAAAAAAGTAAAAATTCTCACCCCAAAAAAGCTCTTAAACTCTAAAAAAAAAAATAGAGAGCACATCATCGGACAAGATTCACCAATCACTAAGACAAAGATCAAACCGAGAAGGGACAAGTCGACAAAACAAAACTGTTTTGACGGATATCTTGAGTTTGATGAGTTTCATCGCCAATGAAGAATATGGTAGAGTGGATGCTCCGGTGAAAAAACGAAAGGTTTGAAACTTGGAGAGAATATTAAAATATTAAATAACTTTTGAAATTTCTTTAATTTTTATGTTTGGTTTTTAATTCAAAAAACAATAAGTATATTAAGTCGTCCATTCCCATTTCTCATTTTAATAAAATGTTAAATATATTTTAAGGAATATATTAATTTATCATTCCTTCACCTTTTAATTTATAATTTAATCCTTACTTTAGAAGGTACACATTAGTTTTTATTTATAATCCTAAGTTTGTGTTCTTTAAATTTGTTTTTATTTTATTTCTATTCAATTTAGTCGTGTTCTATTCAATCTAGTTGTGTTGCTTTAATTATATACATCATATTTATATGTTCTTACTTTAATGATTGAATATTTTCTTTTAAATAATATGTATTCACGATGTCTCAACTCATCATTAATTATCTTATCCTATCGACTTTTTAAAGTCTTCTATTGATTATATATATGTTAAATTCGTTTAGAAAACATTGTAACATCATTAAACACGACTCATTAATTAAATTATAACTATTATGTTTTAAGATAAGTTGTGCAAAATTTAAAAATCTTCACGATCGCGACACTTGCAGTGACCACGATAGCATCCGTCATGTTCGCAACTGGGATAAACGTGACGCGGCCGCGAACGCTATTTAAATCTCTGCTCCACAACATATTTTGAGACCTCGAGAAGCTTTGGCACTGACCATTTTGAGAGAAAAAAAATTGTGGATTAAGGACTGAAAATTTATGCATTATGATTATGATTGTAATTAGTCTGGAAAATTGGAGTTTAAAAGCAACAATTAAGGAAAAAGAACGGGAAATGATGTGCTTGATTTTGTTAGATATTATGCTTTAAAAATAACAATTTAGATTTTTATTTTTGAAAAAAAAAAAATATTTTTAAAAATACAATTGGAGTTACGTATTAATTCTATAATATTTGAAGAGTATGTAGTTCTAATTTGATTAAAATAGGCTTTAAATAAAAAAATTAAAAAATAATTATGATCTGATTGTAAAACAATCAAATTATTTAACTAAAGATCAAACATAATTTTTTTATCAATCTTAAAAAAGCTTTGTTAATTTTAATAAGTAGTATATTATTATTATTATTTTATTATTATTATTATTATTACATAAAGTTTAAATCCAAAGAGGTTCTAAAATCCAACTTTTGGCACAATATATCTACTCTCCTTAGTGCATCTGATTGTTTCGCTGTGTAAGACAAGGTGTAATAGCCAAATTGAAGTTTAATTCGATTGGTTCATATAATTATTTGATGTCGTTTAATTCACATTTAATTTTGTGTTAGGGGGCTGCTAGTGTCACGGTCCGTGCGTGAGACTCGAGACGAGAGCGCACGCACGAGAGTAGCGGCCGTATATGTGATCGGCACGGGAAACGTTCGTGACATGTTCGGAGGTTTGAGGCCGGGTCCGGTGTCTCGGCTGTCATGGCTGTCGGTAGGTAAATTGCGTGACAAGTTGGTGTAACGAACAAATAATGGGAGGGCCAGATTGTTGTAATAATAAAACTTCCATGTCAACGAAACATTAGCCATGTCATCACATTATTTATGATTTAACGTGTGGCTAAAACATGAGGAATGTCATAATTAATTCAAAATTTAGTGACTAAAACATAAATGAGTTTAAAGTTGAGCCATGAAATTTACAGTTTACCCATTGAGACATCTCATTGCGTTGCCTTCGGCAAACCGTCTCTACAATTTCACCGGCAGAGGCAACACTGACCCGTCGATGGATCCTAATTACGTTGCTCAACTGAAGAAGAAATGCAAGCCGGGAGACACCGCGAAATTGGTGGAGATGGACCCCAGAAGCTCAAGTCGTTCGACGATGATTACTACACACTCATCACTAAAAGAAGGGGGTTGTTCGAATCCGACGCGGCGCTTCTCAACGATGCGGAGACGAAAGCTTACGAATTCCATCATCAAGCTTCCGTCCACGCCTCGACTTTCACTAAAGATTTCGCGGTGTCGATGGTGAAGATGGGTAAAGTGGGAGTACTAACTGGGAATCAAGGTGAGATTAGGAAGCATTGTGTTTTCGTGAATTAACTGAAGAGCTTGTGTCTGTGTTTTAATGGTGATTTTTGATTGCTTTGATGGCATTTTAATTGGTTAAAATGTAAAGGTTCGGGAGAATAATTTCCAACGAAATTTGTATTGCTTTGAATAATTTGTGTATATGGCTTTTTGGTGCCATACATTACCAATGAGTGAAATTTGGGTACATTAATATTAGTCTCTATTTCACATGATTACTGGACAAGATATATTTATCAAACGTTAAAAATATAAATTCATCACTCAATTCTTGTTTAGGTCACTATAACTTTGAAAATTTTCACTATAATCACTAAATTTTTAAATTACTCAGATCTGATCACATAGATTTTAAATCAGGAAAAAAAAATGGTAATACGATCAGTTTCCATCGTTCCATAATCAAATGATTTAAAATTGAGGTAAGTTGGTTCGTACTAAGTTTTGATATCTTATTTTTAAATTTGAATTTGATGATTATAAAATTAAAATCTTAAAAATCTTTTTATATTTTAGATTTATCATCTTTACTTTCTTTAGTCTCAATTTTCATTAAATTTATTTGTAAAATAAATAAATCTTAAAATCTTTTTATTTTAGATTTATCATCTTTACTTTCTTTAGTCTCAATTTTCATTAAATTTATTTGTAAAATAAATATCTAAAATATATATCTTATTGATTCTAATGTATGTTTTTAATCAAGAATCAAAATAGATGTTTAGAAGAGAAGCAATGCAACATTTCTTCATCACCAAAGAGAAACCTACGAGTGAATGAATGTCAACAACAAATATTCAAATGACGGTTTCAATAGCATTTTTTACCGCATCATATTTATCGTGATTATAAAAATAACAGACGCTATTACAGTGATTATGAGTATCGCAATCTTTCAATAATGGTCACGGAAAATATCATTACAATGATTATGAGTATCACAGTCTTTCAATAACGGTCACGGAAGATATCATTACTGATAAATAATAACATGGTCTATAATGATTTCGAACCCTAATTAAATTCCAGAATTGTAGTTTCATGAATCTTATTGTCACTACGAAAACGAAAACTTGTATAAAAAATGAAATGATGATTTATTTTTTGGATAAATTACATGTTTACTCACTAAACTTTACTCTCTCTCCTATTTCACTAACGGTACTTTTAATTGTTTTTCAATTTGCTCACTAAACTTTAGACATTGAATTTTTGTGCTGACTCTAAGCTGACATGGACCTCCCACTGGCGAATCATCCTCCCACCGACGATCATCCTAAGCCTGAAAGATAAGAAGCATATTATTACAAGCTAATCAACAATACCCACTGGCTACAAAATTGATTGAAACCAAAAAGAGTGTAACACCCTAGATCAGTACGACACACAGTAGACTAATTAGGGTGCTACACGGAACCACATTTTCTTACTTTCTCTATTTGTTTCAAGGGCAAGAATTTCATCTTTCATAGCATGTACCCACTCTGGATGTTGAATTGCCTCATGATAGGATGTAGGTTCAACAGATTTTGAAATAGAAGAAACAAAGGATTGTGTACCAAAAGGAAGATGCTGATAGGAAATATAATCTGAAATGGGATAATTGGAAGTAGAAATAGAATTACAAATGAAATCAGTTAACCATTGAGGTTGTTTAGAAACCCTAGTAGATTTCCTAACCAAGACTGGAGCTACTGGACCTATAGGATTTTCTAGTTGTTTTGATGATTGCCTAGATTCAGAACTGGAAGGAGAATCAGATGAAGCAACAGGAACAAGTTGTTGCCCAAAAGAGAGGTCTAAAAATTCAGAATCAGGAATGAAATGAGTAGAAGAAAAGAAAGAATCACTTTGAACAGGAAAGTGAAAGGGAAATACTTGTTCATGAAAAATAACATCCCTATTGACAAAAAATTTCTTAGAGGTAAGATCAAACAAGAGATAGCCTTTTTGAGTGTTTGAGTATCCTATAAAAACAGAAGGCAAAGCTCTAGGAGCAAACTTATCAGTTTGTTTAGGAACAGTAGCATAACATAAGCAACCAAAAACTTTCAGAATAGACATATCAGGAGGTTTGTGATAAAGAATTTCATAAGGTGTTTGCCATTGTAAAACAGAAGAAGGGAGTCTGTTTATAAGGAAACAAGCTGTCAAGACACATTCACCCCATAATTTAATAGGCATTTTTGAATGAAAACGTAAAGCCCTAGCTACTTCTAAAAGATGTCTATGTTTTCTTTCTGTAACTCCATTTTGCTGTGGAGTTTGAACACAAGAACTTTGATGCAGAATACCAAGAGAAGAAAAAAAAGGAGAGCAATAAGAATTGAAAAATTCTGTACCATTGTCACTTCTAATTATTTTAGTAACAGAAGCAAATTGAGTGGAGGTAAATGAGAGAAACAGTTTGAGAAACAAAACATCATCATTTTTAAGCCTTAAGAGATAGACCCAAGTCATTCTAGTGCAATCATCAACAATAGTCAAGAAAAACCTATTACCACTATGAGTAGATATCCTATAAGGACCCCATAAATCTATATGAATTAATTCAAAAGGTTTTGATGACCTAGTAGTACTGAGAGGAAATGGTAATATGGTCTGTTTTGCTAAAGGACACACACTGCAAGTATGAATAGACTTTATATCAAATTTATCAGAAACATAAGAGGACAATTTTTTCATAGCAGAAGCAGATGCATGTCCAAATCTAGCATGCCAAAGACTAGTTTTATTGAAATCAGAAATAGTAGGTACATGATGAACACAAGAATTAACCCCAGAACCAATCAAAGAATTAGAAATCAAACCAGTAGCTCCTTTAGTAAACTCAAAAATATAAAGGTCATTAAGCTTTCTACCAATCCCCTTGATCATGCCACTGTAAAGATCCTGCAAGATACAAATGTCAGGATGAAAGGAAAAAATACATGCATGATCTTTGACAAGCTGAGAAACAGAAAGTAAGTTGTGAGCAAAATTGGAACAAACAAAACATTAGACAAAACCAGATCAGATGTTAACCTATGAGACCCTATATGAGACACAAGTTCAGTTTGACCATTAGGAAGATGAACATAACGATGGGCAGAACATAAAATTGGAAATTGCAAACCCTTGAAATCAGACAAAATGTGGTCAGTAGCACCAGTATCAACTATCCAACGAACGCAAGCAGTACTGGAAGTAGGTAAATTACAGCCAACAGTACCTGCAAGATTCACACTGGAATCTACGGTGGAGCTTTTGTTCAATAGATGCAAAATCTGATTGTATTGCTCAGAAGTAAAGGTGGGAACAGCTGATACAGGAGAGGAAACCATCGAAGCATTCTCAGACTCTCCATCCACAGTATGTACAGAATTAGCTGTCATAGAAACTGGAGGAGGCTTCTTTCTGTTGAACTTGAAGTCTGGTGGAAAACCAATGAGTCGATAACATCGATCATGGCTGTGTCCCTTGATCTTACAGTATTCACATGTCCCATTGAAACGCCTTCGTTCATTCCCTTTGGAAGTGGCCGTGAACATAACAGAAGTTTCAAGAGGTGTAGCAGACAACTGAATTCGATGCAATTCCTCTTGAGTTATCATGTAATATGCCTGATTGACGGTAGGAAGGGGCTTCATGATAGGGATCTGACTCCGAATCGCAGAGTAGGTCTCATTGAGGCCCATCAGAAATTGAAAAAGACGTTGTTGAGCCACATGCACTGAATTTTGTTGTGCAGCGTCACAATCGCAGGAAGTGAAGGGGACAAGAGCAGTGTATTCATCCCAAAGGAGCTTGAGACGAGTGAAATAAACGGATACAGATGAGTCGCCTTGAACGAGGGTAGCAATAGACCGATGTAAATAAAAAAACCCTAAAACCATCGATCTTGTCAAAGCGCTCCTTAAGGTCCTTCCAAACAGATTCTACGGTCGAGGCAAAAACGATGCCAGCAGAGAGATCGTTGCTGACAGAATTTAGGATCCATGAGAGTACAAGAGCGTTGCAACGCTCCCATTGAGACTGCATCAGACCGGCATAATCATCTCGTCGACAGCTTCCATCGATAAAGCCAAGCTTGTTCTTGGCCAGAAGAGCGATGCGCATGGAACGGCTCCAGAGACTATAGTTTTCAACGCCAGTGAGCTGAAGAGACACCAATTGAACACCAGGTGTATCAGAAGGATGCAAGAAGAGTGGGTGATTTAGATCAAGTGTGATAGCCATGAACCCTAAAAAAAAGATTTGGGGAAAAGAAACGAAATGAGAAATCTGTTGGAATGAAAAAGATGCTGCTGCTGAAGGGATACGGGCCAAAACGTTTTAGTGAGAAATGGGCCAAACAGAGAACCTAGGAAGAAACGGCCTGGAAACTGATACCATGTTGAAAATTAGAAAAAACTGAGATTGAATAATTCTGCTTGTATTAGAATGAGTATAATACAAGTATATATACAGTTTTAATCTAACTAACTAACTGACAATTAGTTATAATTAAAACAGAAAATAAGAGGTTTGTTGAAGTTTCAAGATGATGTAATGACGTGTGGATATGAAGACGTACAGTTAATGTGGAACCTACTGAACTCACCTCAAATGGAACAAATCGGAGCAGCCACCGCCGAAACAACGACCGAGTCGTTGTCGTCTGGCAAATACAGCAACAGACGATGGTCATCTTCCTGGATGGCTATCGTTTGGCCTAACCAAAGAAATAGCGGATCATCATCATCATCTTCTTGTTCATTTTGTTGGGTTAAATCCAGTTGAAGAGTTACAAGTATAAATAATAGATAGAAATGAAAATTTTGTATTCAATATTTTTAATGGCCATTAAAACGGTTAAATCGAGCCTTGAGTCCCTCTAAAATTTATAAAATTATAAACCTATATGGTAAGAATTATATAGTCAAGAAAGTATACAAAAACTACAAAATGCTTAAAAGTATATAAATACTATAGGATATAGTCTCAACAAAATGCATAATGTGGAAAACTTTGCCTTTAATCGTACTCAAAACTCCATAACAACATGTACATGTAACTGAATATATTCCAGGAAAAGAAAGAATGCACATGCATATGAATTGGTCGAGTCTAGTCTGGTCAGGAATCAAGGTTCTACTGCAGCAGAAGTCGCAGCATTAGCATTTAGCACAATACCGCCTAGCCTTTCGTTGTCGATTCGTGTCGAACATCATGAAAAGAATAGGGTAATAATTTCTCACCCTCCTATCAAGTCTCAACTCTCTTTACTGAAATCAGACATATAGCAGTAACTATTATGGCCATGTACATTGCATATCATAAAAGAGAAATTTTTGCCTGCCGCACATTTCAACACTCAGCTATGTTTAGTACGTGAATGAAAACTCCGAATCTCCTTCGGAATCCATTTGTGGAACGGTGGCCTAAAACCCGGAAGCCATTTGTGGAAAAATGGCCTAAAACCTGCCAATGTACGATGTAATGAATTAGCAGCACGGTAACTCAAAACTGCATGCAACTGTAATCATACTCGAGAGAGAATAATTACTCGATCAAGTAGAAGGACTAACACTCAGCTAGCCCATCACGTGATATCACGGGTTGAATAAATTCGAGCCACCGATACTGAGAGCAATTAGCACTGATATACTTGTAATCACAGCAAACCAGAACAAGGTTGATCCTGCAGAAGACAAAATATTGAATGCATTCAAAACAGTGACACAATTGAAATTAAGTCTTAGTTACCGAGATTTAAGTGTCACACCTGGAGACGATTCAGAACCTTTATTGGAATTGGATGGCAAAGATTCCCCATTAACACCACTTAATCTTGTTTTCAGAGACCCTGTTCTTGATATGTCATCAGAAGATTTGTTTCCGGTACGTCTTGATAGGCCATCAAAAGATTTGCTCCCGGGTTCGGATGATACTATGCCTTGAAATTCCTCACTCACAATCAAAGCTGCTAAAACATCCATGAAGGACTCTTTGTCTGTCTCATTAGTAATCTGTTTTAAGCCCTGCTCATAAGTCGCATTTGGTTCATCAGAATCAGATAACTCATCATCTGAAGCGTAGGTATCAACAGACCCAGCCACAGTTGTGTCATCTTCTTCATCCTCGACATAAGCTTTATAAGTTAACCTAAGCAATACTTCTCCAGCAGATGTCTTTCGGAATACTCCCCAACCTCCTTGCAAGACAACAATATTATCTGTTGGAACCGTGTCCTGAAGAGGCCCAAGATCAACCTGAAATGCTCATGTGCATCAGATAAACGCATGCATAGAAAAGGGAAAACCATTGCAATCTATCATCAGTTTGCCTTCAAATAAAGTGAAAACTTTATCACGAATTCATATGTAGCTGTTAACTATATTAGATCTCAATCAAACAAGCAGCTGAAACAGCAAACAGGATATCTACTCTATAGACCATCAACACATTTCTAGGCAGGAAACAAGTCTTCATTGCCATATTCATCCAAATCTCAAGCTCTATCTAGAAGAGTCTGTATGTAAAACTATGGCAATCTCAAAATGGAAACTGTTGCTTTTCATCAAAACAAATAGGTGCCAGCTAGGATGTAAAAGATGGACCAACTTTCCAATAGGTCATAAGTGCCTTGAACAACTCGCTAGCCTTCCCTCTCTTGCAACCTTTGACCTTTTCCAAAGGAATGCATGTGTCTGTACTATCTAATCTTTAAAAATAAGGTAATTATTGTATGTAACCATAAATTGTCAAAGTTAGATTGCCATGCCCATATTGCACAATTATATACACAATCTGTCTATTTCAATCTTGAATCCTAAAATCTAAAACCCTAGCCCCTAAATTCCAAACTCTAAACCCTAATCATAAACCTGGAAACCTAACCAGTAAGACCTAAATAGGACGCATGACATTAAAATAGATATGCTTGTGTAAACTGTGTGTATCACATAATTTTACTTATATACATTGCTTTTACAAATCGAAGAAGTTTACCTCTCCTCTACCAACAATCAAATCAGCGAACCCAAGGGAACCGTTTACTTGGATGCATAGTTTTTCTTTTCTAGGGTTTGCCACAAGTAAATGAAAATCCTGCCAAAACGCCAAAACAAATATTAATTAAAGAAATCTTACAGATTCAAATATTCTGTTCATCCAGTTTGGAAGTTTAATTAGAGATGAGAGTATTCTATATGAAAAAAAAATTAAAAGATGGAAATAAAAAAAGGCCTAGAAGCTGCACCTGATTCCAAATTGGCTCACCAGTAGGCCCAGTTACGGCAGTTTGACTATTCTTTTTGCTGTGTATAACTTGATCCCCGAGGGTTAGAGTAACATACGGATCAGTTTTGCCTGAAAAAAGAAGAGCAAAAATGAACACTGTGAACGAAAGTGATGATGCACAACAAAATAAAGAGTCCTACTAAGGTCTTCATATAACTATCAGAAGACTTATGTATTTTATCCTCTCATCCAATCTCAAATCCTAGGTTAGGCAACATTGAAAAGTAATTTACGTCTCTGTTACTCGAACTTATATCTTTACCCTGTCATACTCATGTAGCCAGAACCAATAGAACTAAAGGGTAGGCTTTGAGATGGACCGAGTGGAAGTTTTGCTTATTATTCTTGTCATGCTGTGAAGATGGGGAATGAGGAAGACTGAAAGGGAGGGACCTTATGTCACCAAACAAGAGAAGAAATAGCAGATAATTAAAAAAAAGCTCAAAAGATTTCAATGGGGGCACATTAACAGTCCTTAAAGCAGTGACCAAAGTACAAGAATGACTTGCTGAAATTCATTAAGGTTGCCTTTGGTCAAGAATATGGGAACTTTAAATAAAATTGTCAATAGTCCAACACAACTTCCTTCCAAATTCCTTCCTACCTAGTACAGGCTCAGGCAAGCAAAGAGTAATAGGACACACAAACAGCGAGTAGTGATTTGCCTTCCCCCTTTGCTTTTCTATGTTATTTTCTTTAGCATCAATCATGGATGAGCAGAAGCAAACTAAAAAATGCATGGCCAAACCTATATATAGCGAGTTTCATCCACCTTTCTTGGGCTTATAAAGTGGCAGGACTAGATACAAACCTAGCTATTCGAGGACGCTGGCAAGTATAGAATCCTAGGACTACATACCTTTTTTTTTGGACAATTGGGTATTAGTACCCATGTCCTAAGGCTCATGCCTCTGCATCTCAAATTTTATGAGAATCCTAACCTACCCTTGACACCCCCCCCCCAATCCCTATCAAACAACATAAGGTTTACATGCACAGATATTTGTACTTTCTGTTCCAAGTCAAGGGTTGAACAGAAAATGCCATTGAACAATTTTCAAAACGGAACAGAAGGCTTGTCGCATTTGTTGTATCAAGAAGTGTATGCTTCAGCAATTAAACAGAAGTGCTCAATGCATTATGAGTAGTCATTGTCAGAGTGAACAGTTTTCCACAGCATAGAGCAGTTTAAACCAAATTTTTTCAGACCTACTAAGCAAGAAAATGAACATTGTCCATGCATCATAGGAGGTCAAACAATACAAATCTATTAAAAGCAAGCATTTCCCTTATAAATCAACAATATATCTTCTCAGCACTCAAATGAAAAATGACTCTTACCATAAAAAACATAAGACAGCTTCCTGGCATCTACGAGGGTCACGGATAGTTCTCCAACAAAATCCTTGTTTTTTTCTTCTTGAATTTCTCCTGATTCCAAATCATTTGCAACAGGGCCAACTGCTTCCCCTTTTTGGAAATCCAGAACAATTTTCTTCGGTCGAACAAATAGTCGAGGTAAATCCACAGTGAGCAGTTTTCTCAAAAACCTGAATATAAATGCAATCAGTTACCATGAGGATATTAGAAGAACAAGAAGAAGAGAGAGATGCAAAGAAAATCGTTAAAACCAGCTTTGGATAAGAAGTAAAAGGTGAATTATGTCTTCGCTTTCAGCTAATATAGGTGTTTAATATTGAGGATAGACGAGCTAATTTAAACTCGTCTAAATGGGGAGAGGAAGGGCAAAGAGGAGATTGCAGGCACTATCAAATACAACCTATCTACTAACATTTTTTTCTTTCTTTTGACTAAATATTATCTACTTCTGACATGTTCTTGAAGCCTGCAACAATCGCTAGGGAAATTGTAGCTAAGCAAGAAGATGTTTTGTAACGTAAAGTCTTAAATGCCATGAAGGGAAAGAGGGGGAGGGGGATTATGAAAATAGTTCAAACCAAAAAAGTTCTTCAGAATTTGTTTCTTATAAGTAACAACCACGTTATCTAAAATAACCCCTATAGCAAGATAAGAAAATTCATAATCTTTCAGATTCATATATCAGTAATTTGTTCTATCAGTAAGCTTGTATAAAATACAGAAACTGTAAAAGTTGGCACTTACATTGAAAGAACAGGAATAGCTGGTATTGCCCAGTACATGTACAAATAAAAAGAAAGAGAAATAGATAAGTATCAGCGTCTTCAAAGGCAATTAGCACATAAAAGGACAATTCCTTATAATTTTTTCTATATAACTTTGAAGACAAGGGAATCAAATCACTTATTTCCGAAGAAAAAAAATACTTCAATAAGCAAAATACAGAGAAGGAATGCTTCTCATTGTTTCATGGTTATGTAACCAAAATCCAATTAATTATATACTCTGTACGGGAGACTGGTTTGCATTGTTTTCTTCTGTTACCATCCAGTAAAACATTTCTTCTAACCCTCAAAATCAACTATGAAATTCACAGCTTAATGGGTAATGAACAAACTCGAGTTTTGGAAGAAAACTAAGTTAAATTAAGCAATGCATAGAGAACCAATCACTTTAATACAGGAAAAGAAGATATTTCAACAAGAAGCATATTAACATACCGAGAAAAAGTAGGATGAAATTCTGTCACAAGATAGGTAGAGAGTGGAAGAGACAACATACTTTCTATGAATGTGCTTAGATATTGAATTAAAGGACAACCTAATACCAAAAGAAGTTTGCACGTATTACATACCCATTAAGTTAAACAAGCGAAATGGGGATAACTCAAACTTGATCTTTGGAAGCGAGACAAAAGCCCACGAAACAGCTCCAACAAAAGGTTCTGTCGGAATCAATCGCAATTTAACCCAAAGTTCTCCGTCAATGTCAAAATCCTGAATACCAACTGGCACGAGAATTGGAATAATTCCAAATTTTAACGACAGCATCAACAACATTCGAGCACCACCAGTATAACGAAGCCCTATTTGATACCTATAGTATGTAAACAAAAGTCAAATGTGCTCTCAAATTTATAAGCAGAACCTCCACATATCCTCAAATAATCAATAGCACATTAAGCAGCAAATTTAACATCATACTTTTATAGAACCACCAAGCAAATATATCAAGAACACTTAAACTTGATAATTAGAACTTCATATACGAATAAAATAAGAATCAGCAATGATGGACAATACAGGGGCACTAGGAAAGGTACAATAACTATGGCAACAACAATAGCAATAACAAAGTTCTGATAATTCAAAAGAGGCAAAAAAAAAACTCACTGCAAATCGTTGACACGCCTCGAAGTCCTACGCTCGACGTTCCTAACAGACAAAGGCTCGTCCCCTAAAGAAAACTGCTTAATTTCAACTCTCTGGACATAATCAGGCTTCTTAAGGTTATCAATAACAGGTTGCAATAACCCAATGATCCAATTCTCAATCCCACTTCTATAAACTTTCCACAACTTTCCCAACACCATATTAACCCATTCAACTGATTCTTTCCTTTGCAAATCCTTTTCCAATAGCAAAGAAAGACTTGTTGGAACTTGAGGCCAAACCCCAGCTCCCAAATTAACAAGGTCCCCATCTAAACCCCCTAATCTTCCCCTCCTTTTCCTCGAAGTCCAGACTTTATCAAAAGCAACCCCGACAAGAAAGAAGAACACAAAAAACCCAAAAATGTTACGATTAATTGGAGGAGAAGGGATTGGGTGGATAACACCTAGCTGAGTCCTTAACTTGTCAACAATGGGGTCTTGTTCGAAACTAGCGAAGTTCGAACCCATTTGGATAGAAGCTTCTTGACTTTCACTTTCCCCATCCACAAGCTCATTCGAAAAGCCATTGGCTGCGAGATTTCTAGCTACCCTTACATTAAGCCTGTTGGGATTTGGACTGGGGACTGCACAGGCAAGAAGACGGAACTTCCGGTGTGGGATGAATAGATTAACGAGAGGGGTCTTGTTCTTCTTCTTGTACCGAGCAGCGAAACGGAGGTTGGTTTTACAGGGGAGGAGAGGAGGAAGAAGAGGGAAGCTTAAACTGGAGACCATTTATCAAAGGTAATGGAAAGTGGGGAGGATAACAACGGAAACCATAGTTGCTAATGGCGGCGATGATAAACATGAATGGACTGACTGGAGGGATGATTTAAATGAGGCTATGGAATCGGCAAAGTATGGGTTTTAGTGCCCTTTTCTATTGGGGATTAACCGACCTTCAAAAAAAGAATAAAAATAATTTAAAAAATAGTTGGGATTATGAAGTTATGTGATGGAAGACGAAAGCGAATATTGGGGTAGGAAATTTTGGTTGTGTGGCCATGGGAAGCGATCACGTTTTGCTTGTGGGTCAATATTTTCTTCTTTTGGTCGGAGAGGCTCTAATGTTTTAGGAGACAAATGAAAAGTTCACCACCACCACCACCACCGTCAACATAGAAAATTCAAATTGAGATATTAAATTAACAAATGTTATATAACAATTTTTAAATATTAATGATATATTTTTTATTTAATATAAAAGTAAATTTTAAATTATACTCCAAATCTGACTTGTGAAGGTTAAAGATTTTTTTATATTAAGAACGAGTATCTAAAGTTTTACTGTTATACTTTTAGGTGTAACGTTAAAAATTGAAAGTGACACATGACATGTTTAGAATTTTAAAAAATAAATAATATTCTATTTTTTTAAAAAAATAAACGTGGAATATGTCACTTGATGATTTTTTCGAACGATAAACGTCTACAAGTATAACATACGAGAGTTACTTTTAACAAAAATTATTTAGACATCAAAAAATCAATTTTAAGTATGATTTAGGCATCTATTTTGGTATTAAACCTATATTTTTTATATATAAAATTAGGTTTAAAAGCATTAAAATATAAATCAATACCTTTTTAACGAGATTATGCAATAAATTATACTAATTATTAAGATAAAATATCAATTTTTTTAAATTTAAATAATATTTAAAGTTTGATTATCAGATAAATTGACTATATTGTTTTATAATTTTTTTTCTAAAATCTCATAAAATTCACGAGATTCGATAAAAAGTTTATTATTTTTAAGTTTACATTTTTTTTAAATTTGAGTAGATTGTAAGAGGAGATTAGACGTTTACAAGATTTTTCATCCATTTTAAGTGGATTTCGTATAAAACTAATCAAATGAAAAAAGATAATTAAAATGTAAATATTTTGATACTAATCTTGACATGAATGGCAAGCAATGATGGACGACGGTTGACCGATAACAATAATTGAAATAATTATAGGGACCAAAATAATATACAAATTAATATTCACGAAAAAGAAGATGATCATGTCATCACATGACTGACGATTTAATGACTCAATACGATAAATTGAAGTCAAAATGAATATTTATCGCTCAAATTTAAGCTTGTTAAAATTTAATTGTAAAATTGATATAAACCCTATTTAGTGATATTTAGTATAATTTATCTTTTAATTCAATGACAAAAAAAATTAATAATCAAAATGATCATTTTAACATAGTTAAAAAATATATACTTTACTTCAAATTCTATGATAAATGAAATTTTGATTTAATAATAAAATTTATAATTTTGTAATAGTTTTGAGTGATTATAAAATAGTGTTTGTTCAAAATTTTATTAACGTATTAATATGTGCATACATTGTATATGCAATGTGAAAACTAATGTGAATCTGTTTCAGGAAAAGGTGCAGGATTGGAATAAGAATGTTTTTGGTCATGTTGATCAGAAGAAAAAGAAACTTTTGGATCCGCTAAAGGGAATTGAGAAAGCTCTTTTCTCGTCTAGTTCGAGCCGTCTAGTGGAGTTGCAGCGTGAGCTTAAAAGAGAACTAGATGTTGTCCTTCAGCAGGCAGGAGGAAAGCTTGTGGTTCCAAAAGTCATGAAATCAATGGATATTTCATGGAGATAGAAATACTAGATATTTCCATGGTAGTACGATGCGAAGGAGACGGACTAATCGAGTGATAGCACTTAAATCTCCCGCAGGAGATTGGATTTCGGATCAATCAACCTTACAAATGATGGACGTGCAATTCTATAGTAATTTATTTTCCAGTTCTGGGGAAGATGGTTATGGTTATTCCGTCCGAGGGAGTTTCCCGAATGTGCCTGCTTCTTTGCTTCAGGGCTCACTAGGCCGGTGACCGATGAGGAGGTTCGTGACGTTCTTTTTATAATGTATCCTCTGAAAGCGCCCGGTGTCGATGGATTTCATGCTTTTTTCTTTCAACAGAATTGGGAGATAGTGGGTTCCAGTGTTTGCCGAATGGTAAATGATGTGTTTGCCGAGGGTGAGTTAGATGAGGACCTCAACAAAACATTGCTGGTGCTTATTCCGAAAATCAAGAATCCTGATTCGCTTAGTCATTCCGACCAATTAGTTTGTGTTCTGTCTTGTACAAACTAATAACCAAGATGATAGTGAATCGTTTGAAACCTTTGCTCGTTAGATGGACATCGGAGAACCAAACGAGTTTTGTGCCGGGACGTGCGATTACTGAGAATATAACCATAGCGCAAGAAGTTATTTACTCAATGCGACGAAGAAAGGACGGCGCGGATGTATGGCTATTAAAATAGATCTAGAGAAGGCTTTTGATCGGTTTGAGTAGTCTTTTATCGATGACACACTTCGGGATCTGCAGATTCCTAGGAGTTTTCGTGAGTTAATTATGTGGTGTGTCACCTCAGTTTCGACGCAAGTATTATGGAATGGTTCAGTATCTTTGGGGTTTAAGCCATCTCGAGGGATTCAACAGAGAGAATCGCTTTCCCCATATTTGTTTGTATTATGTATGGAGCGATTGGCGTAAGCAATTAGTCGTAAAGAGAGGAGTGGGGAGTGGAAACTAATCCGGTTGAGTCGTAATGGTCCTGCCTTTTTTCATCTCTTCTTCGAGGATGATATGGCGCCAGTGTCGTGTTATTGGAGAAGTCCTGGAGGAATTTTGCCGTGTTTCGGGGCACAAGGTTAGTATACAGAAGACCACGATTTTTTTCTCCACTAATGTTACGAGAGAGGTTCGTAATACTATTAGCTCGGGGTTTGGGTTCCAGGAAGTTCAGAATCTTGGTAAGTATCGGCAATGGTGGGTGATGATAGTCGTCTTTGCGCAATCTGCTACCTGAGAATGTTTTGCACCGTTTACAGGCTACAATGCCACCTTTGGCTGCTGCTCGAGCCGATGCGCCTGCATGGAAGTGGCAGGCGGATCGGAGGTTTACGGTTCGCTCAGCTTATGAGATTAGAATGGGGGGTTCGAACACCTCAAGTCGTTGCGTTTGGAACATGATTGCTAAATATCGGGGACTTCAAAGGATTAAACTTTTCCTTTGGTTGCTGACGGGTGAGAGACTTTTAACTAATGCTCAACGGTTTAGACGGCATATGAGCTCGGATAAGCTTTGCGGGGTATGTGGTCTGGAGGATGAATCGGTTGACCATTTATTCAGAACATGTCCCTCGGCTTATCTGTTTGGTCTGATCTGATTAGGACCGAGAAGCTTACGGATTTTTTTATCAAGGGAGCTTAAGGACTGGATCGGTGTTAACCTGTCCAATCCCGGTTTTTATGCACGGGTCCACACCGACTGGGACCTTCTTTTTGGTGCTGTGTTGTGGTCGATATGGTTTCATAGTAATAAGCGGATCTTTGATCCTGACGGAGCGAGGTAGAGCCAATTATGGAGAGAAGCAGGCGACTACAAGGAGAAACGTGGATGGCTATTGAGTCGGCCATGGTTTTTGCAAGGCAATCGCATGCAGCTAATAAGGCTCCAAAGAGATGGTTTCCTCCTCCTCACAATTGGTGTAATTTATATAGTTCACTTTCTATTTGTGTTAGTTTACTTAGAGCATATTCGGCCCTCATTTCTACTATACAATATCTCTATTCTACTCTAAAGATGAAACAGTAATTCATCTCCAGTACTATATCTACATTACCACCAACTCTATTTTATTCACAATATTTAACTATTATAATATTGATTTTACAAATATAAAATAAAACATATACATTTATAATAAATATCAAGATAAAAAACATAAAAAAACATTCATAAATAATATTGTGAAAATAAATAAATCAGAAAATTACAATTCATAATAATGATGCGAAAACCATAAGTTACAAAATTATATATTTTAATTCTTTGAGTTAGAATATTCATTCTACAAATGCTCAATTAGTGCAATTCGTAGAGCAAAATGAGCATTTACATCTATTCTTGTAAATTCCTTCAATGAATCAACTGAAAAGCTTCGATAATCATTATATTTAACATGGCACAAAGGGATCTTGCTCTTCAACTGGAAAAAGAAAAAATAGAGGTCATGAATAAAATGTCTGAAATTGCACAATTGAGGAGAGAAGACAAGCTTTTAGCAATGGATTCAAATATCATTCCTGACCCCGAATGACGCCACTATTTCGAAACGAACAACAAAAAATTCTTCAGAAACGAAAAGAAGAACAGACAACCTCTATTACTTTTAATGTGTTTGTAATGAACTTTGATGATCTTGGAGGGAGTGGAGGTGGTCTGTCTGGTTATTAGTTAAATTGTTGTGTTTGGGTTGTTGGTTAAAATGTTGTTTGAGTTTTATTAATATTTTCTATGTTTTTATGTTTGTTGTAATTTTTATGTTTCAAAAAATTAGTATGTTTATTTATCTATTTCATTGTATTTTTCTTTATCTTGCAATTTAATATACTTGAATTTATTATATTATGTTAATTTTTATTTTATTGCGTAGAAATTACAATAAAAAACAAAAAAGATAGAATAAAAAATAATGTAACAAAGAAAAGGAAAAGAAAAAGAAAGTAAAAAAATAACAAAAACCAAAAATTAGAAAAATAACAAAAAAATTATGTAGCGCAACTACAATTATACGCCAGATGTAACGTGCAACTGTAGCCACTCTAAAGTGGAGATTGAATGTGGCGATAGGTTGGAGTCTCTAAAGTGGAGATTCATCTCGACTCTAGCGCAACGCTGGAGTTGCTCTTACAATTAGTCGTGTCAATATTCATGTGCAAAAACAATTATTGTTCGTTATAATTTTTGAAATTCATAGATATTTCATTTAATTTAAATAATCGGTGTTATATTATAAAAATAATGATCTTTATCACGAAAGTATAGATAAAATTAAATTTTTATTATGA